TCAGGGCGGGGGAGCCAAACATGTCCATAAAGAGTCCTGTCATTAGACAGGGTACCATTAGTGCCTTTATTAGGACTGAATAAAGGCTATAACATTAACAGGAAGGGGGAAAAAACTACTCCAGACCTCTGGAAAGAAGGAGGAGGCAGAATTTGAGCTTGGGTGTGAAAAATTAATAGGCCATTAACTCGGGGAAGGGCATAAAAGCAGCTTTTACTTCTGGAAGTTGAAGTCCCAGGATTCCAGGCGTTGCTGTCTGGAGTCTCGTTTCCTGGGACTGCTTCTCGTCCCAGCTGTGAAAGGACAGAGGTTTGTAGGTTGAGAAGGGACATGGTTGGATAACTTAATACCAGTCCTGAGAATGCATGGAGAGGGGCAGTTTAGAGAAGGAGTAGTGTGAGGAGCTGATGCCAGCATCCAGGCTAGGACCCTGACAAAGCGGTAGAGGGAAATAGATAATACAGGTAGATACAGATGATACAAGTAGACTCCCGCTTGACTGTGATGAACTGGCAGGAAACCAAGGAGAGGTAGAAATGGGAGCTGGACCATCATTGCTCTTCCCAATAATGAACTATCTTATCTTAGACTCTTATACACCCACCCATCCCCCAGAAAAAACTAAACTGGTTTCAGGCGGCCAGATCCGAAGACATGGTCCCGGGAAGCTTCTTGTACCATCTTGCCATCCATAGAAACCGTCTCATTGGTGAGAATCTCACCTGGTCTCAAATGGGTTGTAGAGCTCTGTACACTCAGGTGGGTAGCTCAGCACTAAGGAAGGAGGAGGATTGCCACAAGTTTGAGGCTACTTTGGACTACACAGTGATTTCCAGATACACTTGGCTCCAAGTCTTTGATTCCTAGTTTTCCCAATAGTTACTTCTTTCTAGTGTGGCCATTCATGTCTTTTGGTTGTTTCTGTTTCCTTTGACCCTGGCCACACCCATGCCAATCACACCATGCAGATGGGGAGATTGCTGTGCTTATGGGAGGGAAGGTTCAGGAAAAATATTCTTAGTGTTCGTTCCCATAAGCCACCACACTTCCAAACCTTTCAAAACATTGTGAATTGACCAGATGTGGTTGCCCGTGCTGGGGAGAGTAAAAAGCACCAAGGGGAGTCACATTCTTCGTATGAGAGTCTCCAACAACAGTTGGCACGCTTTGGGTCTGTCCATGCCAAAAAATCGGGAGAAAGGGAGGACTCCCATGGATCATTCAGAGCTGTGGTACCTCATCCATTGGGGATGAGGAATGTCTCATCCATTGGGGATGAGGAATGTGTTCTCCCCCGGAGAATGCTAACCACAGCATTTTGGAGGAATAGGAGGGAGAATTCCATTATTGCTCCAAGTGAGACAGATGCTGTAGCACTGTATGCTCTTGAAATTGTCTAAATGCTTCTAATAGTTCTGTTTGTTGGTTTTTGGCTTTGGTGGTGCTGAGGACCAATTCCAGGCCTCTGAACACACTAGGTAAGCACCGTCTCAGCCAGGTACATCCTGAGTCCAGACATGGTCTTAGTCTTTGAACAAGGAATGAGTCAATGGACAAGTTATGAAAGACCTTGGTGGGCGGAAGTCTCAGGAGCATGGACTTGGCTGTTTGCTATGTTCTCAGACACCCACACATCGGCTACTACTGGTAGTTTTCCATAAAGACCCTGAGGGTTTTTTCTCCCTCGATCAGTGGCCTCAACCTTCCCAGTGCGGTGACCCTTCAATACAGTTCTTCATGTTGTGGTGACCCCCAACCGTAAAGTTATTGTGCTGCTACTTCATAACTGAGATTTTGCTACCATTATGAATTGTAATGTAGGTGTCTGATATGCAACCCCTATGAAAGGGTCATTTGATTCCCAAAGGGAATCCCACAGGATGAGAACTACTGTCCTTGATTGAGTGGACAAGGGACAGGCTCTATAATGCAGAGGCTAGATAACCATGGGTGATCTAAGACAGAAATTTCAGAAAAGGTTCCATTGTGTTTCTAAGTATTTTGGAAGATGGATGCTTGAAATAATGGAACCTGTAGGTGTGGTGGCATGTACCTTTAACCCCAACACTCTGGATGGAGGCAGATGCTCCTTCGAGCCCAGTCTGGTCTACGAAGCAAGTTCAAGGACAGGCAGGGCTACACAAAGAAACCCTGTCTCAAAAAAACAAAAACAAAAAAACAAAAAAAAAACAAAAACAAAAACAAAAACAAAACCAAACCAAACAAACAAACAAAAAAAACAAACCCAAAAACCAACCAAACGAAATAGGAAGCCCCTATAAGTGGACAATGGACTTCACTGATAAAAGCTGACAAATACGGGGGAGTTAAAAAAGGAAGTTACGTGTATTATGCAGTAACTCCGCCTGAACAGCCTCCACAGCGCTGGACACAGCAGGGACAACCGTGTCCGGTTCATTAAGAACACTCAATGGTCTGAGCTATTTTGCTCCCTTGCCCTAGCGAAAAGACACAGCACCCCCTACCCAAGCTCAGGTAGAAGTACCTTTTTAGTTGGATTCCCCTCTCCTGCTCTCCTACCTGACAGTAGACAGAGGGCCTGTGCCGAGCTAAGACGTGAGCCTGAGTGGCTGGGCGAGGATGTGCCTCTAGGACATGGTGAGGGGGTCCCTGGATGAGACTGCAAGTAGAGTGAAACAAGGTGGACTCTGGTGGCTAGGGTCCCAGCGCATCCATCCCAGGAGACAGAAAGGCTCCCCAATCCCACCCGCCTGTCAGACAACTCCTTTAACAAGACCTCACTTGGTGGATTATATTCTGTTCTTGGCTCCTTAACCACTTCTCACCATAAGAAAGATATTTGTAAATTATAAACAAAAGGAACAAGAGGGTCATTAAAGGGTCGAGGAGGGTTGAGTACCCATTATGTAATTATCGTGATTTCCTGCCTTGAGCCAGCTTCATTCTGGAGGGGCAAACCTAGGTCAGCCGGTGTGTCAGAGGAATGGACTCAGAAAAATCTACCGTTCTCTGCTGACTCTGGACGGTGTGTTCTTAGGATTTTCCCCGACAGTTTCCAAGGACCAAAATTATTCTAGCCACATGCTGCCTGGTAAGATAGCCTGCCATGTCTTACTTTTTATGCTTGCCATGGGGCTGCCTGTGATTGAGTAACCAGATTGGGTTGGCAACTGTCATTCTGCTTCATAGGAGGAAAACATTAACAATAACAGCAATCCTGGCAACCCCATTATTAGTGCCCACCACAAGCTAGAGGCAGCACGAGGTATTTCACTTCTAGAATCCAGGTGAATCCTCACACTTCTGGGTGTTAATTGGCATCTTTACCCACACCCCCATCTGTGAGGAAACTGAGGCAGGGACCAAATCTCTTGGAATGATTCTAATGACCTCTAACTAAAAAACAAACAAAGGACAAAAATGCAAAACCTTTCCTCCACACATGGAGGTTTCGGAGGCATGCAAAAACTCCAGTAAAGGCACAGGAGACAGGATTCACACTGGAGGGTTCCAGTCTCACCCCAGAGGCAGCAGGAAAATGCCATCAACTCTGCCATTCACAGTTAAAGTGGACACGTTCTTTCTCTCCCTCACCACTCCCCCAAAGAGGAGGGAAGTAGCCAGCGGGGAACGGTCTTTGGAGAGAGGAAGCCAGCAGCCACAAAGAGCCCAGAACCCAGGTGTGCAGTAGATCCCGTTTGATTCTGCGGGCCCAATGAGAATTCGAGCAGAGATAAAAGACACCTGAAATGTCAGGATAATGGTAGTATCGGTGTTCTAATAAATACCCAGTGTAGCGTGAAAGTGGCTTCAGCACACTCAAAGCATCAATTAAGTCAGGCGGAGTGAGGGGAGGTAGCAAAGCAGGCTAAAAGCCACCGCCTAGGTTGGGGCCTGGGCAAGCACACACTCCCTGCCTAGAGGGTGAATAACCTCCAGGCCTTTCCTTTTGATGTCTCCCTGGGCTGGCTCTGCATCTAACTGTCCAGGCTGTGACGCAGATGCCACCGCAGACATAGTTCCTCCGTGAGTTCCCCTCACACTTCCTTTAGTTCCTAGTTTCTACGAGTAGTGGTCTCTGCTGAAATTATGGCTGAGAACTTTTGTTTACCCACACCCATTGTTAATTTATATTAGTTTCTGTTCTTCCGAACGGTGATTTATGCATCTGTTTGTCTTCTGGGCTGGGTACTGAGTGACTGAAGTTGTTCAAACAGCACACACGAGTAAAACGCACATCTGGTGTTATCTCAGGCTTTACACTTCTGAAACCCCAGAGCTGTCATGTTGAGCCATAGGAAATCTAACATTGCCCTAAACTCTGCTAGACAGCATCCCCACCAACAGGCAGGCAGGGCCAAAGGCTCAGGTGTTGCAAATATTAGTCTGGAGTGCTAAATCAGTAAGTGATCGGACCATTAGGTTGTCATAATATTGGATGCCAAAAAGCATGGTAATAATAGAAGTAGTATCTCTTGCATTTTATGTCTCATCCGGGATCAAATTAGTAGTCTATTTGCTCTATGGGCATTGAGTAATAGCGGCTTGTTCTGCAGAGCACATCGTTTCTATTCAGATTGCTGGGTGAGCATTTTGCTGGGAGCATGGGTGTTCCTTATGTAAAGTGGAATTGAATGGTGCTTCTGCAGGGTTCTGGAGATGCAGAACCCTTCTCAAAATTCAAAGCCCCCTTTTTAGCCTCTAAATCACAAACAAAACATTAGCAGTTGTTATAAAAATACAAGACTCTCTTTTTAAAAGGGGGGGGGGGAATTAAAGAGGCGAATCTGTGGGAAGAAAACAGAAGTGTGCATTTCTACATAGATGATGAGACATTTATTTAGGGTTATCAATCAGGTGAGGTGAAAGGCTGTTTTTAGGAATTTTTGACACAACTTTGAATCTTAAAAATGGTATCACTCGTCTCAGGTTAATAGAGAGCCCACGAAATGAAAAGGCGGGATTTGTCTTATATAGCATAACTGTAACCTTTTTGGTCTCTCCTGTCTTGTTTTCAGAACTCTCTGTTCCCGAGTCACTAAGAAGCCAAGATGTTGGTGTTACTTGCTGGTATCTTCGTGGTCCACATCGCCACTGCTATTATGCTATTTGTCTCTACCATCTCCAACGTGAGTCATACCTCTCGCTCATCCATCCATGGAAGGGTCTTCAGAATAGTTCTGCAAAACGTCAAGAAAAATGGGGGAGGGTAGTGCATGTTAAGTCACAGTGCACAGAGAGCGTCTAGCTTAGCCTGGGAAAGAGATCGAACACATACACCAAACAATGAAATACTCAAAGTGATTCTAGGGGTGCTGGGGGGGGGGGTGGGAAGTACAAGAAGGACCTTCAGCTTATTGAAGGGTCCTCTCTACCAAAGGTGGAGCTTGAGATGCATTTGGAGGGTGGGTAGTTGGGTGGGGCTCCACCCAGAGAAAGAAGGGAAGTTGAAGAAAGTATTTCCTGCAGGAGGGCTGGCAAAGGTACCCTGCAGAAATGTGTGACTAGAGGGTAGATGACTGTGAGAGAATACTGACCCCTAGTGGTCATTTTCAGCTCCCAAGTTGCTTGTATTGTCCTCCTCTTGGACTAAGAAGTTAAGTGACAGTAAGATTTGCTTGAAAGAGATGGAGGCAAAAGGTTCATGAGTTGAGGCCAGCCAGGGCTACGCATTTTTCTGGGTGTGGTGGCACAAGCTTTTAAAACCAGCACTTGGGAGTCAGGATCTAAGTGAACTTGAGGCCAGTCTGGTCCATGTGGTACGTTTCAGGACAGCCAGGACTACATAAAGAAACCCTATTTCAAGAAAAACAAAACAAAACAAAACAAAAACAAAGAAGTCGAAACAATCAATCATTAGATAGACAAATGATGACTCTAGAATGGGCTACAGTCCTTGCTGTGATTAAAGGGTGAATAGTTTCTGCTTGTTTTGTGTTGTTTTCAGAGACAGGGTTTCTTTGTGTGACCCTGGCTGTCCTGGAACTCACTATGTAGACCTAGCAGGCCTCAAACTTGAGATCCACCTACCTCGGCTTCCCAAGTGCTGGGATGAAAGTATGAATAGGCTTTCAAGTCCAGAGAGAAGGGCTTTGCGAACACCAGTGGGTGTAAATACAAGCTAGGCTGGTTTAGGTGCTATGAGAGAGGACTCAGCCCCTGCCTGTCCAGGTTTGTCATTTATCCATTCTGTATGCTGACTCCTAACCCGGGCTAACTTCAAATTGTCTTACAAGATGCCCATGTGCTCCATATCCACACTGTCAGCCCCTGAGTGGGGCTGAGCCAGTAGGCGATTGTGCATGCTTGGGCTTCCTGTTTCAGCATGTGCATATGTAGACAACACTCCACACTTATTTTCTATTTCAGAAAGGAGTTTTGTTTTTGGTTTAGGCAAGAAGGGATGCTGGCACCGTGGTAAACCTGGGGATGTACATTTTGGTCATTGTTGTGCTTTTAGCTGTTCCTACCTTGAAGCCCTTGATGCACTATTTTGATATGAAATGACTGTGTATGTTGTGGCAGTCCATGTCTGATCCTTCTGTATAGACTACCGAGTGGCCTATGCGCTACCAGATTCATTCTTGTTTGCCAAGTAACCCTCCTGTTTTTTAGTTGTCTCCAGCTGGACATTTTCCCTTTTGTGTTTTTGGTTTTTTTTCCTTTGAAGATTTATTTTTATTCTTAAAATGTGTGTGTGTATGCACATATGAGTGCAAATAAAGATGCTAGCACCCCAGACACTGGAGTTACAGGTGGTGGTAAACCTCCCAGTGTGGACGCTGGGAACCAAACTCTAATCCTTTTGCAAGGGTGGTAGATGTTCTCAATTGCTGAGTCAATTTTGTTGTTTTTATCTTTTGACACAGAGTCTCATGTAGTGTATGTTGACCTGAAACTTACTATCTGAGCTGACACCTTAAATCCCTGAGCCTCCTATGTCAATTCCAGGGTACTGGAATTACAGGCAGCTGCTACCAGGCCTGAGTTAACTGTTTTGTTTTTGTTTTTACCTCTTATTAGTTAGGCACTTAAATACACGTCTTTTAAAGTGTATTGTACATACTCAATGTTTGTTTTCTTATCCAGAGTCTTTGCTCCTTGGAACTTTAGAATTTTAAATCACTATGGTGAACTTTCTTCAGCCAAGTGAGCGTGCACGCACACACATACACACACACACATCATGAATAATGAAGTCCAAAGGGAAGGTGACTTCTGGCCCACAGTTCTGTCTCGGAACCTTTGTGACTTTGGATCTAATTGCTACAGGGAAACGAACATTAGCTGTATTTACAGTTGCATAAGGCGTCTTGGTTAAGATTTGGTCCTGACAGATGGCTTTGTTTTCTTCTGAAAGCAGAAGAGCAATTCTTAATTAACCCCATCTCCTCTGGTTTCAGGTCTGGATGGTCTCGCCTGATGTAAAATCCTCTGTAGGGCTTTGGAAGAACTGTACCAATGGTGACTGTGGTGGCTCCTTGTCATATGGCAATGAAGGTATGAGTGTAGACATCCATGCGGAGCCCACCATGGGTGTGGTCGGGAAGATGCATGTCCAGACTCTCCGGTTGTTTAATGCTCCTCTTGCCCTGTGTTTTCAGATGCTCTCAAGGCAGTGCAAGCCTTCATGATCCTCTCCATCATCTTCTCCGTGATTTCCCTTCTGGTCTTCGTGTTCCAGCTCTTTACCATGGAGAAGGGAAACCGCTTCTTCCTCTCCGGGTCCACCATGTTGGTGTGCTGTGAGTATCCAGGGCAGAGTCTATTTTACATGGGAGCTTTTTCTCCCCCCCTCTGCTGGGGACTGAACCCAGGACCTTGAAAGGCTAAACAGATACCTGACTACTGAACTATATACATCCTTAGCCATGCGTGCATGACATGTTTTACTAGACCTCACATCATCGTTCCTCTGTTCACTGCCTCAGATTAGCGCATGGCTGTGTGAAGCTGCCTTTGGCTCTCCTCTGCTCTAGTCATCCATCGATGACCTGCTATTGCCACTTGGATTGACAACCCACATCTGTTTAATTATTTCAAAGGCTAATCTCCCTAGGAGCCACCAGGTGGTTGGGCAGGATCAGTAGCCCCTCTACTGATGGTGGGGGTGAGAAGGTGGGAGTCCTCAGAAAGATGTAGCAACTGCCATGTCTCCATCTCCCCAGAAACACCTGGAGCATTAATCTAATTCATCTTTATCAACAGAAAATAGGGAGTCAGATATCAGAGTAAAAACCTGAAAAATCAGAGAAGCAGGTGGAGCTGCCACAGTCGATCCCTCCCTTCCTCCCCTTCCTCCATCCAAAGGGGATGGGATCCTTTCTCTACCCCGCCTTACAACTTCCTGTATGCTATCTGTCCTCGGTCCTCCAAACCTCTGTGGTCAGCTAGTGGCTAGTTCCACCCTCTGACTCCAAGCAAGCTTTATTTGACAGAACACAATCAAAATATCACATGACAATCACCCAGTTTGGTAAAAGGTTGTACTGTTCTCATGACGCCATACCTAGACATACCAGGGTGCAGGCGAGAAAGGCAGGCAGCCAGTAGGATGCTCCATGGTTTAATCTTCATTGCACGCAAACAAGTGTGGGTATGGGAGCCCAGATATTTCTCGCTCACCAACACACCATCAAGCCTGAATCTCGGCAAACCAAAAGACTGGCCTTTTAGGGACAGACGACTACAGGGAAATGGGATCGTTCAGAAAACAACACTTGGGTGCCAACCATGACAGTGCCTTTTCCCCTGCAGGGTTTTGCATCCTGGTCGGCGTCTCTGTCTACACTCACCATTATGCTCACCGTGAGATGAACTTAACCGCTAATGACCACCAAGGCTACTGCTTCATCCTGACCTGGATTTGCTTCTGCTTCAGTTTCATTATTGGCATCCTCTATATGGTCCTGAGGAAGAAATAAGCTGAACAAAGCTTATGGGGACTGGGGGAGGGAGGGGGGCTTGGGAGCGGGGAGGAGGAAATGGCTTAATCTGGGAGGGAAGCTGAAGTCATTGTGTAGGGGTAACCTACACAATGGGGGGAGGGGGGAGGGGAAGGGGAAGGACAGTGGGAGAGGCCCAAACCCAAACACTTCTGGGGGGGGGGAGTCTCTACTGCCAGGCACCTGCCCTTGGAAGAAAGTTGTTGGCTCCTATGCTGATGCTTTCTTGAGGCCACCAGAGAGTCCTCCTCTAGCCACCAAATATGGCTCCATCTGTCCTCAGTCAGTTACATAACGCCACTTGGGGCTTGACCAGCTGCCATACGGTACAAGTCCTGGCAAGAGCAGGTATTGCCTCTTTGTTGAGAAGGCTAAGCCTGGAGGCCACCCTGTCCCGTGACCTTAAAGCGAAGCACCAAATTCAGATTCCAAGTGCCTTTGGTGGCCAGGAAGCCACTGTCCCTCTTTGGTGGCCTTTCTGACAAAAGAACAGAGAGATGGTTTATAAGGCCAGATTGGTGGGATTGGCTTAACCAAGAATTAGAAATCTCTGCCCTGGAGGACTGGGAGAGATGCTAAGACAGGCAGAGGTGCTGTCTCTCATGGAAGCCTCCTGCTGGACTCTCACAGCCAAGGCAGCTTTTCTGGAGTTTCTCTAGATTCTTCAGAGCCCTACAAGCTATAGGGTCAAAGGGCATGCCCGCCACAGTGCTACAGTAGGGTCGTGCTTTTTGGGATCCCCCCCCAAGTGCACATGAAGTTTCTTGTAAAAGTAACAGGTGAGGGGCATATGCGGCCCCTTACCAAGTGGCTCTGTTGAGTTTCCTCCAGATTAGGGAGCTTTGAGGAAGTTCCATCTAATGATGATCAACAGTGAGGCATGAAACATCTAAGTTCAGTGGTCACTGCAGCTCTGACCCTGGCTGGACTGGTCCCCTCTCAACGAACTTCCTCACACCATTTTCCAGATGAAGATAGCAATTCTGGAAGCCAGTTAAAGCATGCGCCAACCTAAACCAAAGAACAAACCCTGGGGGTGGGCGGGGAGGTGCTATCTGGTTATGGAGTATTAAACATACTGCATTTCAGTTATGATAAGAACAGAGTGCCTGCTCTCAGGGGGGAAAAACTTAAATCCTTTGAGATAGTAAGTCCAGGTGATGGGCAGATAGTTTCTTTTTAAAACAGGAGAAACTCTTGGGGAATCCAGTCAGATGGTAGCTGAATTGTTGGGGCAGCAGGGGTACACCTATGTAAGACTTAGAAGTAGTGTCATAGACCTGGTTCAGTGGGCAGAGCTCTGTCTACAGCAGCTATTTTAAGCCATCTCAGATTTCTGCCTAAAGGGCTTTCTGGTTAGGAACTGTTTCCTTTATTGCCCTTAGAAGATCACCCCTAGGAAGAGTCTGAGACATCTTGCCTACATTCTTTTTCCTAGGGATAACCTTACCCATTTCTTATACACATTTCTTTACTAGGGGGAGTTGTTATTCTATAATTGCTGGTATTTATGTAAAGGGACTATTACTAAGTATATTTCTCTATGTGTATTACGTAAGGGAATGTTGAAGGTGGGTTACTAAATTGTCAGGCCAAGAGTAGAGATGTTGGTCAGGAAAAACTGGGGGATAATAGACTCTTCAACTACAATTTGATCACCATACACTTGTTCAAGGCTGTCTTATGTTCAGAAGGATAGACAGCTATAGCCAGAAAAAAGAGAGTCACATTTTGCTAAAGTTGAATTACGATAGAAGTGAACCATGCATTCCCTTGTCTTTTACTTTTTTTCTGTGACATTTATGTCTCACGTAATTTGCATTGCATTGGTGGGTTATTCTAGTACTGTATTTGGCTTCTTCATTAATAGATTATTTCATATACTATAATTGTAAATATTTTGATACATATGTTTATAACTCTAGGGATATAAAAACAAATTCTGATTCCCTACATTGTGTGTGTCTTTTTTTTTCAAAAAAAAAAAAAAAAAAAAAAAAAAAAAAAGAGAGAGAGAGAAAATATAGAGAATGGTGACATTTATTCCTCCTCATTAAGTTTCTTACTGGTTTGATTTGGGGAACATGACATTTATTTGAGACATTGAATTACTTTCTGGTAAAACCTTAAGGATTTCTCTCATAATTATTTCAGGCAACTGAATGTTATTAAATATAGCTTTGCCTTGCTTTAATTAGACCTCTTAGGCAAAAATGGAATTTCATAAGCTAATAGAAAGAGGTTGTTATCATCTTTAATAAGAATGGCTTATGACATTAAGAGTTGAGGCACTTACATAGTTTGGTTGAAGTAGCCAGCTCCTCAAATGTGTCTTCACAGTATACGGTGATTCACAAAGGCTGTGCTAATTAGTATCTGCTGAAGCTCATTATGTTAACTGGAACATCTTTGCATGGGCTCAATGACTGAAAGCAAGATTGATCCTTTTTATGAGTGGTCAGAGCTGTCATTGATGGTGGAGAACAGGTGGATATGATGTATTGCATTTTCATATTAGCATCAGTATGACAAATATGGCTTATTGGTAGTTTTCTGGTCCTCTATGGTCTAACAAACAAACAAACAAACCCAAAACTACACAGAGGGGCTGGAGAGATGGCTCAGTGGTTAACAGCGCTGGCTGCTGTTCCAGAGGACCTGGATTCAATTTCTCAGCACCCACATGGCAGCTCATAACTGCCAATAAATAGCTTCAGTTTCAGGGGATCTGGTATATTCACACAGACATATATACAAGAAAAATATGAATGTACATGAAATAAACACACAGAGAGAAACACATGAGAAATTTGCTAAGAGAGGCTGAAGAGATGACTCAGTGTTTAAAAGCATTTGATGCATTTTGCAGAGGACCCAGGTTTGATTCCCGGTACCTACATGGGGGTTCACAGTCATCTGTAACACCACTTCCAGGAGATCCAATGCTCTTTTCTGGTGAAACACATAATAAAAATAGGCTAAGTATTAGGAAATATATCATGAAACCTGGAAATGAAACTTCAACATAAAAGCCTGAGCAATTGGCTCTGTCCAAACATGAGGACCTATACAAAAAAAGTTGGGTGAGGTGATATATGTCTGTAGTCCCCCAGAGCTGGGGGTAGAGACTGGAGAAGATCCCCAGAGCTCACTGGTCAGCTAACCTAAATTCATAGAGCTTAGAGCTTCAGGTTCAGTGAGAGGCCCGGTCTAAAAAAGTAAGGTGAAAATCAGTAGAACAAGACCACCCTATGTCAACCTTTGGTTTCCACATGTGCACAGATGGATGAGTACATGCACACACACACACACACACTTTAGTGTATTTCAAATTAGCAGATCAAATTTCATTGGTTTTGAGACAGAGCCTTACTAGCAAAGGCTGACTAGCTTCAAACTTGTACTCTGGGCTCTGCCTCTACTGAGTGACATGACTGTAGGTTTGCCTCATTGCATCTGGTTGTCCGTAAGATTCCTTAGGCTGCTTCTAGCACGTTTTCACCTAACTCTCCTAAATAATTTCCTCCCACGACACATTCCAATTCATATGTTGACTCTCCATTGCTTCCCCACAAAGGTCTTTAGTCACCAGCAAACACAGACCTGCCCAACATGTCTCCCACTGCCAAGATGTCATCTAGCACTTCAAGAATCTGGGTGGTGAACAGGGTGTGTTAGGAAAAGCTGCAGGAGAGCTATCCAGCAAGAAACTCACTCAAGAGCCGACATAGCAATTCATGCCCCACAGTGGTCCCATACAGTATTTCCTCTGGAGATCTGGTTTTCTTCAGGCCTTCAGCTGATCAGGCCCACTCACACTGCTTTACTTAAACTTCATCCATTTAAAAGTCATTCTCATCTCCAAATGTAGTCCCAGAAATATCCTGAATTATGATTGGTTACACAGTTGGATACTTTGACCCATCAGGTTGAAACATAAAATTAGAAATCACCAGGGTACCTTCTTACCAAGCATAAGGTGAACTAGTTTTCTAACTGTTTTAGAAATGATTTAACGAAAGCTTAAACCTCAAATGCCTCTGTGATTCTAGCTGATAGTTAGGTTTGTGTGGTGGTGAGATAGCAAAGACATGAGTTTTATCCTGCAAATGAGATTCCATTCTAAGAAAGGACAGGGAGTTTTCAGATTCCCATATAGAAAGGAACTTAATAAACATTTGAGCAATTAAATGTTTCAGATAGAGTCTAATTAAATTGAAGTGGTTAAGTAGGTATGCAGGTCCAAACGGAGAGTGTGGGGGTGGGTTGTCACTTATGGATGAGGTACATAGGCACAGGCACACCATTCGTCAGGGTGACAAATGCCAGATGCCACATAGCTAATAGATAACCCTGTCACTCAGCTTTGGACGTGGTCCTGATTGTCCCTCTGTGAAATCCCGCTGGCTTTCAGTCACAGAGAACGATTTCACAGGAGCCTTCACAGAAGGCACATGTGAGCTAAAAGTGTGTTGTGCAGGGCTCCATATTCCAACTCACAAGCAGGATTCTCCTGTGTCTGCGAAGAAACACCAGAACATACTAACATGCAGAAGAAATGTTCTTCAGAAACGCTGCAGTGAGTTTGAGATAGCCCCATGTTACGAGTAGTTTTCCCAACAGCCTGGTCCCACAACTGCACCAGCCCCAAATAATACACAGAGACTGTATTAGATAAAAAGCTGTTGGCCTGTTACTAACGTTGGCTAGCTCTGTCTTAAATATTAACCCATTTCTATCAATCTAAGTGTTTCCACGTGGTCTTATCTTACTGGAGAGAGGATCTGGACCTCTTCTCTCTTGGTCCTACATGTTGAATCTCCTCCACTTCTCTCTGAATCCTCCTTGTCTCCTAGTCCCGCCTATCTTGCTTTCCTCTTGGCCAACAGTGCTTTATTCATTAACCAATGAGAGAAACATATTTACAGAATGACAGCTCCCATCAGCCCCATTCTGGGGCACGGAGGGAATGTGGACAGTGGTGGGAGGTAGGGTGGAAGGAAGGAGGC